ACATTGTGAACAATTAAAACCAATATTTTGAAACACTTAATCTTTGGTGATTCTTACTGTTACCCGCAGCATCTGGATAAAATAATAGTGCAGTTATGCTTCGTTTGCGGAAGAAATATTTACCCACCAAAAGCCTTAAAATTGATCGATTCAATTATTAACGTTTCCGGACGCGTCAACTTCTGCGGTCATTAGTCCCGGAAATGTAGTACAGATAATATTGGGGCAGGTGGTGGTGTTTGTTATCGCTACAATGACAAATCCGAGCTGATTTTCACATCGATTTACAAAAGTTTCCCTTTCCACGTATCTCCGCCAGTGGTGGTTACCCGGACGACTCAAGGTTTCAATTTTACGAAATTAAACTATTATTATTTATAAAAGGAGAGTTGAATATGAAGACTATCTCTGTTATGGTTAAACTTCCAGGAACTACGCATTCTGAAAATCAACTAATGAAAGATAATGCGAAGGTTTAAAAAAATTAAACAGAAGAATACTAATAAATTTTGAATTTAAGTATTGCAGAATATTATCGTTCGTCTTAACTGAATAGAAAAACGCTCATTAATTAAAATGCATGTTATTTTGCTGTTTTTCTTTAAAACAAACTTGTGATACTATTACATGTCCCATTTACTATTTGTTTGGTTGTTAGCATAAGAAGTAATTCATGTATCAGACTTACCAACTTATCTACACCCTAACTACTATATTCATGACAAACTTGTTTACAAGCCGCTCTTCAAAACAAGTTAGGATCAGTGCTGATTTTAAGCTAACAGATTTTATTATAAAATAAGTTGTATATACAAGCACGATATTGTAGCGAACCGGTAAGTGGAATATTTGTCGGTGAAACACGCGGTTGAGGGCAGTAAAATATTTTGGTACGAAGCGAAATTAACGACACTGTGTGAATCATAACAATGTAAAACGCGCAAGGGTAAATTGCAGAGTTATCTGAAGCAAACGGAAGTAATATCTGCTGCAGGGATTACTACGTGCAAATACGTAGAAATAAAATGCCAGATTGAAATAGCCCTTGTATTGAATTCAACCTCCATAAATCTCCGCGCAATGAAAAAGTATGACAAAAAGTTAATTTCGAAAACGCCATTAATCAAACGTGTCTCCTGCCCCAATAGCGTTGGAGCGGGATCCATGGGTGGAACCACGGTGACGTACGTCTCAAAGTTGATTTCTTTTCATTAAATCGTTTCATGTGAAGATTTGCTAATCAATTCTACTGGTTTTTTATTAAATAATATTTAATTTCACCGTCGCTTTATTATAACTTATAATGACATAGGTACACTTTGCTTATCTTATTCTTGGAATATAGTTGTGGCCTTGCGGTGCATCTTCCCATTTTCACTTGAGTCTTTCGACAAACCACTTGATTTGAGAGTTATATATTTTACGTTTTTGGTATTCTTGTATTAACTACGTGCTTTCCCCATGTTTTCTGTATTATCCTATTAGTCGTTTAGATTACTTTTAAATTAATTTTAATAACGTTATTTATTTTGCCTTCTGGTTGTAGGATCAAAGGAAGTCGTAAAATAGCATTTTGCATCAATGTATTTTGTTTTCAAATCATGTAATATTAACGTTTTGTCACATAAAACTTTCCAAAAAAATGCATGCATATTTGTGATTTACTAATGCTTTGGTTTACTTGACCTATTACTTACATCAGATTTCTTTTCTTCATGCAACGAAAGCCACAAATGCAGCTCCCACACAGTTCTACAAAATAAAACAGCGTTGAGAAAGAGTATCTAAACCACCAGCGAGTTCCGACTTTATCATGCAAATTCGTAGTTTTTGCCCTTGCATGAATGTTTTATTCAATGAATTCGCATCACAAAAATTCCCAAGCTTATGCGTCTTTTAGCAGCAGGTCCAGAAGAGCATTCAAAATGCAGACGAGAGCGACGCATATTGCAATTCATTTGTTTCCTTTTTGGGGCGGAAGTCGCGGCGAGGACAGGCACGTGGAGGGCGGTCGGGAGGCCTTGCAGGCCAGCGCACTTTTGCCCCAGTAACGCCCGTCAACCAGGTTGCCTGCGGCTACGGCGACATCGCGCCCTCGTAAATATCACAAGCGTGGGCTGGGTGTGTGTCTTTTTTATGTCTAGCTCAAACATATGCGTATTTTGGGTACCCCGCTGCCAAGTTAAAAAAATTGTGTATTCATGAAAGGTGCATTAAAACATCATTAGTACGGTCGCATGAATAATACATAGCACGGGCCTACGATGCCCCCTAGGTGTTTGAATACATCTTACTTTCAGGCGACTTCCCACGATAAGCTCTCGGTTTTCTGGCACTTCCTGCATTCCAGCGCCGGGTGGTTTTATCCTGGGCGTTCACCAGCGTCGTCCTCTCTGACTATTAAGAAGGGCGTCCGCTCGTGGGTGATAAAGATGTTGATAGTACCGCATCAAAAATACCGCTGTCTTGTAGAAGGGACCCAAATGTAATTTTTGCATTAATGCAGGAAACATTGTCACAACACAGCATTAAGATGATGTGATGATCAAATGGGAAATTAAATCCATTTAGGACAAACAAGAAATCACTTGTTCATAAAGGAAAAACACTAGTTTCGTATCTTCTTCATTTTCACTAAAATTACTGTCGGTTTCGATTTAAACATATAGAATTTATAAATAAAAAAAAATTTGGAATAAATGCATGCGAATGCTTAGTATCTTGATCTCTTGGTATGTGGATCTTGAGCTATTTTAAGTGGCTTAAACTCAATATCCACATCCGAATTTAAATGCAAGGTCTAGAATATTCATCAGTGTGTTATTAACACTCCACATCCAATCACACATTTCCCGTTCATTCGGCCCGTTCGCACGTCACTCAGAGCTCTCTGCACATCATTAGCAAGCACCTCCAAAACCACCAAGGCAATGTACAATTCACTTCAAATATCGCTGCGCTTCATGCAAACAAATATTATTTACATATTTTACAATGAAATATCAAATTTTGTATTCCTACGAATTAAAAATTAATTAAATATATTCATTTTATCTTTCCGTATTGGAACATATATGCATGATATCTTTCTTTTCATATTAGCACAGAGACCTAAAAATGATGAATCATTTTCATATGTACGAGTTAACATTTGGATACAAAATGCTAGTGTTAGGTTTTCCATGTGGCTGAGATCGCTAGTGCTGGGGAGTCTCGGAACAAAACACCCTGATTCGAATCCCATCAAGGATATAGATGTGTGTTCTGTGATTGCGTGCATTATCAATATGAGGGGGTGCGTATGTGTACCCTGGGTTTTGTGTTGGGTCGTAAAAGCATCGCCAAATCGGGATAAAAAATGGAGTGTGTGGGAAATCAATAAAAACTGCCTCTATTAGCGCCGACCCCGCAGAAACGGGAAAAGGCGGTCTATTTATCAATGTATATTGCTAGGGCTTGATCTCGCAGTACGTGAGGGACCCGCTTTCCGACACCTCGGGAATAATTGTTAAATTATAAAAAATATATATAATAATTCATATTAAACAATTAATTAATTAGGGGCGCCTTCTGGGAACTCAAATCAAACACACATATATGTGTGATATACATATATATGTGTTTGTGTGTGTGTATGTGTGTATATGTGTATATATACATATACATACATAATATTACAATTCAGAAAAGATAACATTTAAATTAGCATTAGCGTTAGCATTACAATTCATTTGATTAATATATCCTGACTAATATGCTCCGATTACTTAATAGAAGCTCATTTAACTACTTGTGTTTTAAATTTGAATTGAGAGAAGAGCTTAGAATAAACTTTTTGGGTAACGATATATTAAGTGAAATGAAAAAAAAAACTTCATGGAATTTGGAAATATGTATAATTCGTTGTACTCACAGTTCTCTGTGAATATAATGAGTATAAAGCAAAGAGCTTGAATCTTCATAAAACGCTAACTTTTCGAGAAGCCCTAGTGTCCCTTGGATTGGGGAAAAGCAGAGTGGAGAGAAGATAAATGAATAGCGATGTGTACGTTACGATCATGGCTTACAATTTCTTCTCGATCAAAAAAAAATGCACATTATAATGAGAAGAGCAATTTAAAAGCGAGGTACGTCATAAAATGGTTTCTTGTAATCGAAAGAGGAAACAAAGCTAATATTAAATAAAACATGGTTTTATAGCAGAAACTCTCCAACAGATACAGAGGCATACGTGGAATTCAAAGTAGAGAATAAATTATAATTCTAATATACTATATATACTAAATTTAAATGAAAATAGAGTGAATTTAAATTTGGGAATTGCAAGATCTGTACCAAAATAAGACATTTGCAGTTATATTGTTATTTCTTCATCATTCACATTGTTCTATGTGTTGTTTACGTGGATTTAATTTCAGAATTTTATTATGTGTTTGCATTGTAATTGGATTATTAAGATAAATTGTTTTCGAAGTCATACAGTAGCACTGCAAGACAAGTAGTGATACACCTCGCTGAAAACTTAATTCATTATCACAAAGTACAAGGTTAATAATGGCGCTTATTTACACAAGCGTGATGTAAGCATTAGTTGGTACCATATGTATCTGACAGTTGCAAACGGGCATACCTTATTTACAAAATACATATTTATAGAATATATTTTGGTTATGGTCACTCAATAAAAATTAACTTCCATCTTATCATACATCTTAGACACAAAATTATTCAAATCAAAGTAAATGTGAATATTATTGTTTGTGGAAAAATACAATTTTCATTAAATATGCCTCAAACACTGTAATAATTAATTAAAGATATTTTGTACATTCATCTTCAATAATTATCTAATGCTTGACTCATGGACTCAATAATGGAATCACGTTTGTTAGATTGTTATCAAAACATTGCAATAGTTTCTGCGATGAATCGTCTCACAAGTTGTTTTGAATGATTACCTCTGAGTGTCCATGGAATAGTACAAACCTAATTCACTGCACAAAAAAAAAGTAGTAGTTAGTAAACCGTCATAAACATTTGGGATTGTATTCACAAGGAAACACATACGTCGGGATAGGATTTTCCACCGGGATGCGATTTAATGAGGATGCAAGTCACACACGACGCCTGCGCCAGATTAAAGAAGCATAGTACACTTGTCCTTAGGCATATCGAAGCGTCAAAAAGCCCGAGTTAGGGGTGAGTTGCGTGACGTGGCCGCTGTGACCATTCCAGCGGGCGCGGGCCCGCGCTACTTACAAAGATGTCAGCTGCTTGAGCGACACGAGCGCCGCCCGCGGCACTTCGCTCAACCCACAATTCTGCAGCGACCTGTGGGGCAGACGGATAGGTAGAGCCTGGACTTGGAGAGCAGAAGTATCGCTTTTCTTTGGCTGCGTTTAGTCACTTGCACATGCACGTTTGAAACGCTAGAGTGGCGCCTCTCGTTGTTCGTTGTGTTTTAGTAACTTTAAATAATGGTTCAAAAAATATATAAACGTTGGACTTACGATCATAGTATTAGATTAATTTGATCGAAATTAGTACTCCTTATAGAAACAGAAAAAAAAAATCATTAACCAACAATTCAAGGCATGCCTGGATCAGACCCCTAATAGCTAATAGGAATATATTCCTTTACAATCGTATTTAACGCACTTGTATTGACATTAAATTGAATTAAATAATTGAACTATAGAACAACCGAGACAATAGAATGAGCTCACTCTCCAGATCACTCTTTAACTTGAGTTGCAAATAGTTAATCAATAAAGAAATAAACTAGCACTACATTTTAAACATTTCATTATGTCTTTTGCTATTGTAAGCTGTATGAATTATAATGTATCTTCGTTATTTCAATAGAAATTATAATTCAAAAAGTAAGCGATCATATTTTATTCCATCTTCTCTTCAGGTTGACTCTATCTAAATGAAATACAACAAGACTTGTTATATGCGGCGGGGGGCAGACCCGACTAAGAAATTTTGAGGAGTTATGAAAAAGAAATCCAGGTGTTTGGAGAAAAAAGTTTTCATTTCCGAAGTTGGTCTACATACCTTTTATACTCATTGCGTTTTGAAAATAATATATGAAAGATGGCGGACGTTACCAGCAACACACTTCAGAGATCTTCTCCAATTGCCGTTAAAGGCCGCCATATTCCTGATTTTATTTTCACAACGTAGTGACAATAAAATAGTATGTAATAACAATTTCGAAAACATTTTTTCTCTATACAGTCCGATTTATTTTTTAATAACTTCTCAAAACTGCTTAGTCGGTTCTGCCCCATCCTGTATTATACATATTTTCAGATAACAATGAAATGTCAGGGATTTGGAAAATGAATCCCCGAAATGTACTATTTATTTAGTAGGAGTCATGAAATAAGTCTATGTCATATTTGAAGCGGTGTCCACTCCCCTCCGCTAAAGGCATTTACTTACTTAACGGAGTTGCTGAGAGAAAAATCTCGTAGAAAACGATATGGCAACATCCTGAACGCCCAGTCGGCGCCAACGGGTCTCAGCTCCCTGCACACATATCCTCTACCTCCCCTTTCATGCCTCTATCCCTCCTTTCTCCATTTTCTCTTCGCCTGGACGTCCGCCAACGGTAACGTTGACGCCTCTCGGCACATTTATTTATACAGCCTACAGCTTTTTTTTTTCTTTCTTTCGCGTCCGATTCCGTTTCAATAAGAACGCTTCAACTTGTAGCAAGCAATTGGTCAACGGCGCAGAGGAAAGCATTCCTCGCGAGGAGAGCCAAAAAACAGCGCCTCTTTGTCGCTATTAGACTAATACTGTCTGGAGCCATCGCCGGGATGGGCGGGTGTATCCGTCTGCAGCTATTTAATGCCGAGGCGGGAGAGAGCTTGATCGATCGATCGGTCGATCAATATTCCTTCGCCTTCGCTACCCCCTCCACCGATTGACTCATCCCCCATCTCCTCGGTTGGGAGGGAACAATTCTATTTCCGAATGAACTGGCGATCTCGTTCCTTGCTGGAGCCCCTTCACTAAATCAAAACAGGTCGGCTGTTTGCGTTGGCCTGCAGACTCGTATCTCGTTCTGTTTTGAAGAAATGCGTTGCGTAACAAGCTTGTTCGGAACGATCCAACAACAGAAGATTTGATGATTGAATGTAAAAGGAGCGAATTAGCAAACATCTTCGTGAGCTGTAAACCAGTTTGTCTGTATTGAATAAACATTCATTTGATTGTGAAACTGATTGTTTAATCACATGTTTTATTAAACACGCCATAAAATATAGTTTTAAAAATTAACATTCCTGTTCCAATTTTTGGTGATGAATCGCATGGTAATAAAGTAATGGTTCAATGATTTTCAAATACGTCACTTCAAAATTTACAATTCCAACATTTATGAAACAACTAACTCTATAGTTTTGATCCTCTACAGGGAAAAGTTACCGAAGAAATTCTATATGTATGTGGGTGTGAGCGAGAGAGCTTTCTGTTCAGTGTGGGTGCTTCATATAAAGAGTAAAGTATAATGTATAAATAATTAAGCAGTAGAAAGTGACGTACAATAATGAAGGGTCATATTATTTGACCGAGGATTACCAAATAAATTCATTGAATATACTTTGAACCCTTTAAAACTTCTGAAAGACGAAAGTTGAATCGGAACAAAATAAATTTAAAAGAAATAAAGAATAGAAAAATAGCTGTTTTGCACACAGAAAGAAGCACGAGAAACCATGTTTTGCGCTCAGGGTGTTAAGAATATACTTTTATATTAGTAAGTGCATTCTAAATTCTGACAATACGGAATTTCGATAAAGAAAAAAAGTTCCCTGGCATTTTGATGGTTTTATCACCAGAAGCGAAAGCACAAGTCGACATACGCATATCCTAGGTCAACATGTAAACGAACCTGCGAGGATATGTGTGCAGTAAAAGGGCAATTCCCTGGCTTTACGACACAGGCCAAATTTCCCACTCCGATATCTTTGCATCTATTCAAGACAGGACGTAAAAATTTTATACGCGCCGTAACATCCTCGAAGAAAGTCTTCTTTGCTGTATAAAAATTCCTGGGACGCCATTAGCAATTGACATTGGTGCTCAATTTGATCAGAGAGTGAAGATAGAATGGGGGTTGGTTGTGAGGCGGCGGCGCTAGGATGAGAAGAATCTGAAGAAGGCTTCATGGAGGCAAAACGAAATGAACGCCATATAAGAAAAGAGAGAGAAAATGACAATGTAAAAGCAAGGGACGGGTCAGGGACGAGCTTTAATAGCGTGGTCTCTAGAGAAGACGTGACGGCATAAGAATGTCGTCGACACAGTCAACATAGGAGACGAGCAGAGTAAAGACCGCAGTAATGAAAATGTCTGAAGCATTCACTGGGCGGGGAAAGAAAAGAGGGAAGTTCAACGGTATGAGGGAAGGAGGTTTAGTTATATAAAGGCGAAATTCCACTTCCTTCAAAACTATCACTTTCATATTAAATATTGTGCGTTATTATGTTTTCAAGTTCATATTTAATATAAGTTTTGGCTTTTTCATGAAGAGATACCTGTTTATAATTTGCTTTTTGTTTAGTAATTTCCATGATGATCAATTCTGATTATGTATGATCCTTTTCTTGAATACAGTTTTAAATTGTTTGCAATTTTTAAAATTCAACCACAAAACTTTATTTGTCTGAAGATTTTGGCATACTTTTTTTTTCAGAATAATTCACGCATTTTGGTTTTGTATTATTATTTTATTACATAATTTATAATTAAATTGTCAGTACGACGTGGAACCCTTTTACACATTGTCCCTTACAGAAATAGGAGTAAACTTGTCATTAGTGATGTTGATTTCATTATTAGAATATTTAATGTGACGTATCTTGGATAGAGATCTCAGGATAGAAAACTCAAAATATCACGCTTACTTGAATTCCAATGCATTACTCGGCCCGTGTATCTCCATTCTTTAAAAATATTAGATTTCCGACGAAATATAAGTATATTACGTTTAATTAAAATACATTTTTACTTTCCCGTACACATACGTATATACGGAGTAATATACATAGTATAAGAAACGTAATGTAAAGCTGCCCCAAAAAACGGAGGATTTTCGGCAGAAAAAATTCATCACCGGGTACTGCAAACGAGAAGGCGAATAAATCAAGATGCTGAATAAAAAAAATCCTTAACAGTCGAAAGATCTCTCACGCCGTTAATACGCACATTTTCAGCAATTTGTATACACTGAAAACTCAATAATTTCTAAAAACTCAATAATTTTTCTGTGAAAAAGAGCTTGAAATTTCGAATTTACATTAGTGCTTAAACTCAAAAATGTCTTCCATTGGAAGGTGTCCATTGTATATAGGTTTCTGTAAACTGAATAATCATAACTGTAAGAATTGAGACCAATTAATACTTCGATTTTCGAAAATGTTTACCCATGTCTTTCCACTTTCATTGCCTCGTGTTTATATTTTATGCACGTATGTGCATCCAGACAATACTGAAGTTTCTTCAACCGTATTTGACATCTATGCATGTGTCTGACTTTTCCAATTCTATAGTTTACTTCTCTCACCTACCCAAAAAATGTGATGTGCTTAATTCTGGAAAGGTATTATTTTTGAACGCATACTTTGAATGAATTTTGTATATGGTGATTACAATTCATTTTTTCTGTATTTAGTAAATATTTTATTTTTTGTTTCGAATGTTTAGTTTCTTATTAATTTTAACTCTTTTAGCACATAAAATGAGTATAATTCCAAAACATTTGTCCTTCAGAGATGCTTAATTTAAAAAATCCACCCAAGACAGCTCGTGGGTTTAATAGTGATTTATTTCGTGCTTCTATAGGATGCACGGCTTTCTACTTGAAAATACTCTTCTAGAACACATTTGCAAGAGTATTACTGAATTTTTTTTATTATTCTTAGATAAAATTTTAACAGAATTTGATACTCTTTAAAAAAGTACTCATTGAAAGCAAAACTTGAGAATTTTATAAATTATATTATCTATTAATTATAGACAGACAAATTCGGAATATTTTTTTATTACAATACATTACATGACACGTTTAACAGCCGGAAAGTTGAGAATTTGTTTCAAATACATCACCTCTCTGATTTCACCAAGTAATAATCAGAGTTACCAATATTTCTTTAATAAATAAAAAATATATCAAAGTATAACATTAATAGGAACAGTACCTACTAATACATAGAATTTCCTTGATTTTCAAAAATTTAGAATTTTCCCCCCTCACGTATCCTGAGTTCTGGAAGTTCTTGAATTTTTAACATATTTCCCGGAAAGTGGTTACTCTTTGAAACGCGGAAGAACGCATGGCTATGTGTGGGGTCAATGTGGGCGTTGGAGGGGGTAGGGAGAATGGAGGGCTGCGAAAGGGAAGCAACCAGTGCCCAGAGGCGCCGAGGGCGAGGACGAGGGCGATGGCTTCCGTCGCGGGGTTGGGGAGGCGTTTACGTACGATATGAACGGAACAAGCGCCTGTGATGATGGGCGATCGAGAAGAGCGAGCTCGTAATCGACAGCGTCCAGGAGAGATGGTCGTCCGAAAGGGGAACCGAAGATGACATTATGTGGGTGAGGGCATGGACGACAAAGGTCGTTGCCTCGGACTCTAAGAGGAATTACGATTTTTGTGGTTCACAATAATGACTGACATTTTCTTTATGTTGGAAAGAAACAGGATGTTCTTTATTTTTATAGGTTTCATGCTGTTTCGAATACAATCTACTTTCATGGACGGCATGAATTCATTTGTATTTCAACACAGCATTTCTGCAGTACAAATGAAGAGTTTGAACTTATTTATTGCGCAAAAGTTGCATTATTTTGCAAATTTTGTTTATCTTAATAATTAGTCATAAACAAAGATCTCAATTGGTGGAATCTCTAAAATACAAGATAATGAAGCTTGAAAAGTCAATGTCATAAAGATGAATGCACTAATTTGTACGAGAAATAACTTACAGCTTGCGAAGATGATGTAGAACTCGAAACGCCCCCGGATGAATGTGTTCCAGAATGTTGTCCGTCAATATTCTGAAAAAAAGGAAAATTGTTTTTTTTGGTTTCGTAATGTAGAAATATTTTAAGTATTTACATATCCAATATGAAATTATATGTAATATTTTCTTGAATATAATCACTGCCAATCTGTCCACTCTAAATTAAATTTGAAAAAACAAATGAAAATTACTCTCGATTGTTTTGTGGAATCTGCAAAGAAAAAATATTTATGCGAAAAATGTTAACATTCGATCCTAAGAAATGACTCAATTAAAAAATAAACATTTTGAAACAATTTACAAATATGATGAACATATAACCACCTTCTTCATTTAGAGAGCTGCAATGCATGGCATTCTTCTCTTAGAAGTTATTTGTTGGGAAGCTACATTAGTTGTCATAATTATGCATTTGAAAATAATTCATGAAACAACATCATTTTTCGTTTCAGCCTTCCATTTTTTTCTTTTGGTGATATTCGAGTGTTTGGTAATCTCATAAGTCTTGGATATCGTCAAATTCACCAATTAGCTGTTCTCTCTCGCCTGCCTCTCACTTTCATTTGAAAAACACACTTTTTGAATCAATTCACTCTTTGAATTCATTAATAACAAATGGTAAATAATAACGATTTATTGATAAAGACAGCGCAAACGGTGAGGAAAACTAGTGGTACTAAAACAGCACATGCTTCTACTTCTGAACATTTCATATAACGGCATTTTAAGAAATTTCAATCACAAATTCAATAGTGTTTACGAATTGCTGGAAATGTGCATATTAATGGCGTGATTTTTTCAAAAACATTACATTTGTGTCATCTTATGTAGCACAATCCTTACCAAGAATTTTTAAGAAACAATGTGAAGATGTTTTTGAGAAAATCTTGTTTTTTTTTAAAAAAAAAATTGCACATATTGCTGGCAATATTGCGCGAAAACTACTAGAACTTTTTTAAAGTGTACATGACCTTAATGAAATAACTCACTATAGAGAACAAATTTTATTTCAAGGAAAAATCTTTATCTTCAGTTTTGAGGTTGTAAGAAGTCACCCGAAAAATTTTAAAATTTTCGAATATTCGGAGTTAAACCTGAAAATCTGACCTATGACACCTTTATAATTATATTTTACTCTATTCTGGTAAGAAATTTAAAGAAAAACTCTGGGAATGTTTTGAGAAAATTTTGAAAATGTTCGGAGGGCTTCATGTTCAGTACCGCCAAATTTTAAAGATTTTTTTCAAAATCTCAAAGATTCGACTCGCGTCAGATCGACACAAGTTTCTTCAATTTGGAAAAAATCCTACGCATGGTTAAGGCGTTAGTAGTGTTCACAGACATCAGACGGACGGACAGATGGACGTTTTGACAAAAAACAATTTTTCGGTATCAGGGGACGTCAAAACGATTTCAGTTGAAATCTCGAAATCGAATTTCCGCAGCATTACGTAACATTCCCTATACTACGTATATTACTCCGTATTTACATACCTACGTATACAGGAAAGTAAAACGAATTGTGTAATTAGGTAAAGTAAAAGTGTGCGAAAGCAAAAATAGAATTAATATTGGCATTTTCAATATGAAATTATGATTAAATTAAATTATATATTTTTCATATCATTCATTTAATTTTTCTCGGGGTTCACGTCTTTTAAAGAGCTAATTTTGTACAACAGATTTTCTCTTCTCGTTTTTTAAATTATTTTTTTAAATGAACGTTTCCTTTTTGGAAGAGCAAAAGTTTGGGCAATAGACTTTGTCAGTGCTAAAATCTCTATCATCCAGATTGAAGTTTTAAATTTTTTTCCAATTGTCGAAAAATCGGGTATGTTAACGAACACGAGACATGCACTATTCTCTTATTCTTTGAACTATTCAACAATAAAATTTAATAAAAAACTTGGAGCCTTTTCTGAATTTTCGAAAACGTCATAGGATTTTTTTTCTAAAGTACATCCCAGAATTAAAATGTCAGTTTCAAATTCCAGGGTCCGCGACATCAGCTGGAACGATTGAGGAATATCAATTTTGGAGAAAATAGGCTGAACAGTTTATGCTCTAGAGTTGTTCAGACAGACGTACGGACAAAAATAGACAGACGCCATCAAGCGATTTTTGCCGTCAATCGAATTTTTTGGCAACTAGGACCTACAAAATATGGATTTTGCCTATACCACACATTAGAGGAATTTTGTTCTATATTTAGCAACCTTTTTCTTTACCAGGACCCGACAATAAGAGTTTTTTGTTGAAAATTCGCCGCACGATTACAATACTTTCTCTCCTTTCGTTAGTAAGTGCGAGAAAGTAATTAATACAACAATGTTATGTATACTTTTGTTACTTCGAGAATGCAGGATTTTAACAAACGAATAAGCTGATCTTCAACCTTATTCAAACACATATTTTGTAGCCCTAGTAGTTGTGATATTTCGTGAGCAGTTGTTGCATCCGAAATTAATGAACATTCAATTTGATTTCACAGGAGAGGTGACCAGATCGTGCGGACATCTCGCCCTGCCGGAAGGACGTCACGCACGTGATCGAATCTCGTGCTACGCTGGCAGGGCCGTGAAACGCGGCGCGGTGTAAAATTAAGAAATTGCATCGCGGGCGCTGGATGCGAGCGCAGGTCTGCGCCCTGCCCACTAATAAAGTCCCTGGCCAGCAGAGCGTGCGCGAACGTTATTTATGCCGAGATCTAACGCGATGGAACCCCCAAGGCCAGAGGACAGCCCACGACTGGGGGAGACGGCGGGAGCAATGATCGCGGCTCTGGCAGGGACTGCAGCGACGACAAATTGGCGAAGATTGTGCTTGTCAGGAGGCGGAGGTAGTGGTAGGTGGTAGTATTGCTAAGAATATTAGCGAGGGCAATAATTGTGGATGGAGTGATGAATTTCATGATTCTCATGATTAATCTCACCTGGTGAAATGGCTTAGGGCCTCAAACTAATGTTACTGCAGTGCCTCGGACCGGGAGGCTTTGGTGTTTAAGTCACAACAGTGACAGGATTTTTAACATAGCTAGGACGAATTCAGCCGCCGTCTCGAGAAGAATACTAGCCGATGGCTGCTCTGAACGGTTGTTTTCCGTGTTTTTTCCTATCAACACCAGGCCAATGCCGGAGCAGTACCAAAACAAAATGATCACAGACCGCGCGCGATCTAACCCTCTCCTTCGTTCTCACACCCTTGCCTTTTACTCACACACACGCACTAAACGGGACACCAGTCCCGACAGACAGAGGCGGTGCCCTGCCGGAGGGAGATACTTGAACAGGGGGAAACCTCTGCAAGCGGACGTAATGGTCGGCGCTGGACCTCACCGACCAGCAGCGAAAGAACACCGTCATTTTCCCGTGATAAATCATGTACTACATTTATGGTACTAATTACTATAACGGTTGTGCGCCTGGGAACGAATCTTCTTCTTCTTCACTTCATGGATGAGGCTTGGGCCTGTTCCGTCTTCACAAGGTGTCCTTCCATCGTTTTTTGGGTCTACCCACACGTCTTATTCCACGCCGTTGGTGGAGAACAGCTAATTTAGGTTGTCTTCTATTATCCATCTTTTGCGTGTGTTGATACCAGTCGATATTCAGTAATTTTGCTTCCAATTCTTTCGGTAAGTAGTTTTTCCCTAAGCTTCTTGTTACGAATGTGATCTTTTGTGCATCCTAACATTCTCCTCTAAAACTTCATTTCAGCACCCTGTATTCTACTTAAGGGTCTTGTTGGTACACAACTTTCCCTGCCATGCAGAGGAATTAGAAGCGCCATTGTCTTATAAACTATTATTCTTGTATCATATCTTGTTTTTTAATGAATTATATGTAGTATCACAAATAATGTTGTATCTTGGCGGTTTAATGTTAATGTATTGATATCGTGATCGACTTGACAACCTTAATAGCTGAAACTGGAAACTTGCTCTACAATTATTTCATCCAAAATAATTTTCGATCACATGATTTCTCCAAAATGCCATCACCTTTGTTTTTTTTTATTTTGATATTTTAACGTCGTATTTTTTTACATAAATGATTTAAGTTGAATAATGTATACTGTAAATCATCTTCTGTTCTCAGGAATATTAAAAGGGTCATCTGCATAGAGTCAAACATTTAAAATGTTTTCTTTTCGTATCTCAGTATCTTTATACACTGCTTCCAATTTTAGATAATGTCATCAATATAAATATTAAAAAGTGCTGGTGAGACTGGGCATCATGGTCGCACTCCTCTGTTTATCAATATTTTATCAGTTTCATATATTCCTACTTTTATTACAATAGTCGAGTTTTTATTCACGCTCTGCTTCTACTAATTTTGGAGGATAGCCATTATTTTCCATTATATACCAGAGTTTCACTCTATTTACATTGTCGAAGATTTTTACAAAATCTATGAAAGCTATGGGTGTCTGTTGATTGAATTTCTTTCTTTTTTCTATTATTTGTTTCAGTATGAATGTATTGTATGCAGTCGATCTACCTTTTCTAAAACCAATGAGAGTTTCTGAGATACATTTTAGCCTTTTTTTAAATATTCTATTGTTCAACGTATATACTGAATTTAAAATGCTGATTACTGTGAAATTCTTGCAATCTTTGCGATCATCTTTCTTGAATATGGATATTACTTTAGCAGTTTTCCATGATTCTGGTATTTTAATAGTTTGCCAACAATAATTCACGATGTGTTGCGTCACCAGTGGAGCATCATCCCACCATATCTATCTATATGCTCTGCCTATTCCCCCTCTCACCTCCCTCCCACACCCCACCAGCAGCGTCACAATCTCTTTTGACTCGCTGTCACGCTCATTGCCACCAACTATGGATACTATCATCACAATCATATGCATCACTCATATTACTTCACATAAGAACCACTGTCATTTCGCTCCAATATTAGAGTGACCTCCCTTGTCACAGGGTGACCACAGCAATCGTTTCACCAATTACCTTCCTTTACCTTCCATAACACTATTAGCATCACCTCTTTCACCACTACCGTTTCATCTCATCAAAACCAATGCAGGTTTCTAAGAATGATACATAACATTCTTTATCACAAGATGTGAAGTTCATCGTGATTGATGGATTATTCATGGGGAGTACTAAGATGAAGAAGTTCTCCAGAAGGGGACCTCAACAACACCAGAAGAGGACCTACAGAGTAGGCAGTTCGTCGCAGTCACGAAGATACCCTCGAAGGAACCCGTCTCTGAAGGGATTGTTAGGGAGAGTCCGTCTCCGCGGTAGCAGGGACGAAGTCTCTAACGGCCAACGTTAGGCGAAAGGAGCAACCCTTCATGTAGGGGTTAATACACATGACGGCGGGTGAAAAGGTCATACGACAGCAGACCTATCACACCACAAACTTCGCGAGAGGCTGGTAACCTCTACGGAGTTGAAAATTCTACTCTCAACCTTCACCAGATAATGCCGGACGACATAGACGACGACCCACGCACGAAAAGGATAAGAATAAAAGGATTTCGGAGGAATTAAGATAAGCAGCATGGAATGTGAGAGGATAGGGTTCTAAAGAGATAGAGTTGGAAAAACTTTTGCTCGAGAGAATAAAAACTGCCATCATTACAGAAGCTAAGAAAAAAATGAAAGGAATAAAAGAACTGGACGAATACATAATGATTTATAGTGGTGTATCTCAAAATGCAAGGGCCCGAGCTGGAATAGCCATTCTTATTCATAAAAGTTGGAAATCAAGAATTTTAAGATACAATTTCATCAACGAAAGAGTGATATTTTTAAGATTGAGGATCTCCAGAGGTTGTCTGACTATAATAGAACTGTATGTCCCAGAAGAAGCGAAAAAGATGGACACAAGATTTATAAACATATTGATATAAAATGAAAATAACCATCTCATCGTAAGTGGTGATTTTAATGCGAGAGTAGGTAATACACTCGTGGAATACTTTAGAGAAAAAGAACTAAACAATAATAGAAATAAACTTATACAATTTGCCCACACAAACAATTTAAATATCTCCAATACTTTCTTCAGAAAAAGAGATGTAAATAAATACACTTGTTGTGCAAGAGGATACAAGACAATAATTGATTATTTCCTAATAAATTAACAATTGCAATCACAAATAATAGATATACAAGTTTATTGGAGATGTGAAATAGGTGCTGATGACTTTATTTTAATTAGCAAATTCAATCCCTGAAAAAGATGAAAAACTACAAGACGACAGAGACGTATTTCAGAAGACGTATATAAAGAACACCTTCTGAAAGAAGAAAATATAAAAATGCTGTACCAAACTAGATTGCAGAAATACTTATTAGAAACACCAACTGAGAACGATATAGAGAAATAATGTAATTATGTACGAACCTGCACTAAAAATATGGTTGCAAAAATGTGGTAAGAAATGCTAAAGAAAGAGGAAAATAAGAAGTAAAAAGGGTATGAAAATGTGGAACAGTGAGATTGAGAACCGAGTAAGAAAGAAACAAACTGCCTATCTTCAGCACCTTCAAAAATACCGATAGTAAATAAAGACACAAGGAAAAAGGTAATTTAACCAAAAAAAGGTATTCGACAAGCCCAACAACAAGCAAGAGTTACATATATAATATATAATACATAATACATAATACATAATACATAATATATAATATATAATATATAATACATAATACATAATATATAATATATAATATATAATATATAATATATAATATATAATATATAATATATAATATATAATATAAATATATAATATATAATATATAATAATATATAATATACAATAATACATAATATATAATATATACAATATTAGAACTATGAGGATTCTATTAATCAGCAAAAATACTTTTTATTTTGCCATGTCAAGAGCAAAACGCCATGGCAAGAGGCCTACTCTGACACCATATTTCACGTGAAAGCGAGTGGAGGATTAAAATGGGATAGTAGTTGGTAAATGGAGGAAGGCAGAACGTGCACGGGGTGAGTGTGAAGGCAGAGTGTAAAAGGGAATGAATAATGGTACTACATAAAGGGTTTTCATAGGATGTGTAGCGAAACATTACTGCATCACTAAATTGCTTATCAATGCCGTAAAACTTACATTGGAAATATGCAAACAGATAAAACAGTATTTCGTACATTATTTATTATTCCTAGAATTCTGGAAACGTGACAAATGTGTAATCTAACACAAAATATTTAAGAATGGCATTCATATTTTACTATACTTGCAATGCAGTGGGAAATATTGGCATTTTGTTACTATGACGCTATATTCCGCACAGCAAAACAATCAGCTGCGAACCAAAAGAGATTGAGAACCCTTGCGCTAGCGTAGAATTGAAGGCTGGGGCAGGAGGTAAGGAGAGATGAAGAATGAACATCAACGGTGTGATGTCCACACTTGTGTTTATATATGAACAGGAATTCACTTGTTTGGTGATGATGGGGCGGCTGTGTTCAGTGGGTAGTGGATTCCTGGTAGGGGCGATAAAGACACAATACGTGAAGGGAAAGAGGAAGCTGAGGTAGCGCCCTTAGCAGAGATGTTAGGGACGGGGATGGCAGACCATCTACAACACAATCGGTGCGTGTGCGGGGGGCGGTAACGTGCGGAAATGGAGAGAGTGGGGTAATGACGGTTGATGTGGAATAAGAGGGTGAATAGGTGAGGAAGGGGATGGTGCGCACATCTAAGAAGAATGCCAAGCAGCAGACTTCCAGCTTTGGCAATGCAATGTCGACCGATAGGAAAACGTGGCTTTGGAAGACCACGTGCTAAATGGGCGCCGAAACAGGTTGATGAACCTAATTTTTGATTAGAAGAAGAAGAAGAAGAAGAAGACGAAGAAGAAGAAGAAGAAGAAGAAGAAGAAGAAGAAGAAGGGGATGGCGAAGGGATAGCAGTGACTAGATGATGGTGGATCATCAGCATCGGGGAAAAGCAGAGGTGGATACGGTGGTGGTGATGGGAGGGATAGCTTCAGCAACGGCCTTTGAGAACGATGGCGAGAATTGAAGAAATATGCTATCTGCTACAAGTGAGATAAATGTGAATATGTGTGGAAAACGGGGTTAATGTTCTGAACACAATTTTTAAAAATATTTTATATTTATCATATTTTCCAAGATTTACACATGTATGTTACAGAAGATATCGTGCTCTACACTATAAAACATTACACGTAATTATGCTCATTGATTTTTTCCCCTTAAAGTACAGTGTATCAGACCGAATCTATCAGATGGTTGCCACACATTGCATTTATATACACTCATTAATCTTAGTATTTAAAAAGTCTTCCTTCGAACATTAAAAAAACACTATCGCCTCTTCGCTAAGTATAACATCATGACTCAAGGATATACTACCAACACCATCTGCAATGTACTGTAGTTGATATGGAAAATTACATAATGAACAAATAACTGTAGATAGCGTTAATTCTATTAATTTTAAGATATTATTAAAATTTTGTACTTTCACTATAAAACCAAGATAAGATCAAGTGAATATACGTCTAGGACTACTACCTTTTATTTAATGAAAAGTAATCACGAAAGTTAGTTGAATGCAAACCTTCAACTTCTTTTAAAACTAAACCTTCAGGGAATTATAGAAGTAAATATACAGTTAATAAGGATGGAGCACAGTAGCTGAATGTGAGAGCATTGATTGGGTCATTAGCGGGAAATTTGGCGAGGACGTTAATGGGATTTTTTGCGATGCCTTTGTCGAGAAAACTGGAGGGGACGCAGGCAGAGATGTAGATAGGGTTGCCAACCGTCCTACATTTGGGAGAACAGTCAAGACATTGACATCAATTGTCTTTTAGACCTGATTCAAATGGTTAACATTTGTACTAATTTATTTAAGCTCTTGGTAACATCTCACGTTGTATAGTTTATTGTTTAATTTAGATTAGTAAACACGAACAAACTTTTTCTGAGCGCTGACACAGGCATGAATGATAGTGTCTCTGTCTAGCGACGAAAATAAAACAGAGTCGCTCAGACCATCTGAATCTGCATTTTGTGAACGAATCTTTTCACATGAATTACAAATGGAGAGAATACTGTAATACAGCTGACGCTAGTCAAAATTATATTTTATATAAATCAATCTGTAGATGCTGTTTTTTTCTTCGTTTTTCCTTGTCGAATGTCCTACCTTTTACATGAGCATAATTGTTGACAAATCGAGGTGTAGCGGACCTGTCTAACGATGGAAGTGGTGGAATGGACATGGCTAACGATTGAAGTGGGTGTCGATGGAAGAGTTAGCCGTAGGAGCTGGCGTAGGCCGTGCGTTGGCGGAGGCGTTGGCGAGGGCTGCGCGGAGGCGGAGTGGGTGCCGAGGCGAGTCGCGTGTCGTGAGCCTTCCATTAGACCAACATCGCCGCTAATACAGCGTTTGCGCCTATCAGGCCATCGCCAACTCCCGTATCAGCTTCCGAATCGCTATTAGTCCTCTGGCGCTCGGATGCAAAATATATTCTTGCTCGAGATTTGTCACGACTTGTGTGGGGTAGGCAGAAGTCTAAGTTACGAGAGCGTGCAGTGGAAAACAAAACTCCGCCGCTTCGTGCTGCGCGAAATTGAATTCCGCAGAGCAAATAGTCCGCCGTACTTTATTCACCTCATTTTGTCATTTTCCTAGATGATCTAGAGTCGAGGCTCCTTCCGATCAACACAGTAAACGTTGGTGTGGTTGGGTGAATGTAGTTCTCAGTAAAATTAAGTTTGTTTTCTTATTTCGCTTTTTTACTTAATTTTCAAGCATCTACGAATTATTTGAAATATTTATATTTAATTCATCTATATCTCAACCACATCAAATGTATAAAA